TATTGAACTTAGTGTAGTAGTAGTAACAGTACATAATGACAGTTTTATGTGCATCCAGTGACACCCACACATCATTCATGAAATGTCTTACACCCTCATTTCCTATAGTTCACAAGCTGCCCATCCTTCAACAAGTAGTGTGCATGGTTTTTTTTCAGCCCTGGTTTCCCAAACATCTTAGTCATCAACATAGTTGCTGTGTTGGCTATTTTCTTATCTAGTTCTCTTGAAATGATTATCAGTGAAATAAAAAAGCTATATTTCACATCACTGGGTTCCTGACTTAATATGTTGTCTGTTTGTGCAAGACTAATGAATCAGTAGGTCTCTCCCATTGCGCAAAAATACGCCATGTAGATGGTAACAACCAGCAGCATCTGGTTCTCGTTTCACAGTTTCAGTCTTGGGTTTTATGGAAAAGGGCTCTTGATCTGGTATAGTTAAACATAAATTGTCTGAGAATCTCTTGGAGATGGAGTAGATGAAGTTACGATAATTGTTTACTTTATGGTTCGCAGCTCGGGAAGTCATCAGCTGTAAAAATGGATAGATTGTTTTCACTGGCAAGACTGACTGTCATTGACTTTTCTCCTCGACTAGATGGTGTAAGTGACACTTTGGATTGACTCGTAATGTCTCCTCGTCCTTTCACCAAGCAAGTCAATAGAGATATAATCAAATCTTCTAAAAGTGTGAAGCTCAGGCAATTAGTATTTTGTGTTAAATATATATTACACTTTACAAAAATCAAATTTAAATAATAATAATAAAATAAGTACTTAATAACACTATTATTAATGTAAATAGATGTAAGCAGCATTAACCATGTACATTAGTTTATAACCTTCATTGTATTTGTTTATGTCTAATTTGTTTTGTCATGTATTTTATTCTTTAGTGTACTAAGACTACTGTTTTGCTGTTTTATCGCAACTTTAATTTTGGAATTAATGTAGTATGTTTTAATACTTAATGCCTACATCGGTGTGGCAAAAGTTCCTGATATATTACCGATTTCTCCCGAACGTTAACTGCGGAACTTAACACTGAAATAGGGTATTTAATACTAAAATAGAACATCGAAAAATATTTTCAAGGATGATTTTATTATTTCTTTTTAGATATAAATACTCGAAATTTTTATGATCGTTTGAAAATTGCAATTTCGGCTATATTTTGCGGAAAAATGCACCGTTTTCCAGGCCGTTTTCTCTATATTTTCTTGTTCGTTTGCTTTTTTCTTTCATGAAAATAAATGACAATTATTCTACGATTTTGTTGTTTTGTGGGATGAATACTTATGTTGACCTTCAAACAAATACATAATTCATAATGAAACACCTCCTTAGGTTCCTCCTTCAGCTGCTTGCCTTTCCTTTTGCTTTTTATGTTTGATTTGGCTGATCTTGCTTTTTATTTTCTTCTCATCATGGAACTTTTCCATGGGGTTTGCCTTCTTTATTATCTCATATCTTTTCAAGACCACTGCAAAGCATGCCTTTGGTGCAATGTTTTCATTTGCATCAAGAATATCATTGATGATATTTGAAAGCACATCTGGAAAACGTATACGAGTTGAAAGTTGGTCATTTGCTGCTCTTTTTACTTTTGCAATGAAGGCACTGATTGCCGAACGAATCTCGCTCTCAGATGGTAGATCCAATGTAGAGGGGTGTTTCATGTTCAACTTCTCAAGCATGCGACCAGGACCCTTTATTTATCACCAACTTTCCATCATCTATATAACGATGAATATACTTTTTTTCCATAAGTTTTTCATTGAACAGGTCTTATTACCCAACCTTTCTGAAAAGATTCGTAATGTTTTTCAGGTTCAAGAACAAAATTACTACCTAAATTGTCATCATCGATGCGCTGAATAAATTCAACAGGACCCCAAGTAGAATTTCAGAAAGATCCCGGATTCAGCTCCGTTACGTTATGAGAGAATCAATGCAAAAACGTTTAGCCAGTTATCTTCTTTTCGGCTTAAATAGCCCC